TTTTGAAGTAGAATTGCATGCTATGAACAATATCTTTTGTTAGAAAGTAGTTGTTTACGGTATTGACTGCATCACTTTACTTTGACGAATCCATTTATTAATAAATAATTAATAGATACAATAGTGTTTTGGTGATGGCCACCGACCAGGAAAGTATAGACAAATTCAGTATACAGCTTTGGTGAATCACAAGGTGTTGTTGTTTTTGTCTGTAACTAGATTTAAATAGATGTATAAATCATCGCCTGTGAATACAATGAGTGCACGAGATTATTTATTAACCGAAAGCAGTGCACCCTTAAAATTAGATTGAATTTATTACAGCCAGTTATCAACAAAAGTTTTTTTTCACCATTTTTATTTTATATTAGTTAAATATGTATTATCTTAGAGAAAACTTGGCCTACTGAATTTAGTTGCTATATAAATTATTATTTAAACATACATTATGCAAGAGCTAAATCTGATTATTGCAAGTCTTTATTTAGGCTTCAGATGTCATAGAAATTATAAATTAGATCTTTATTTACACAAGCACAAAATCAACTCTGTAAACCCACGGATGGCTTGGATTCGCTTGGATTTAAACAGGATTTCATTGATTGATTAAATTTTTAAATGGCGTCGTAAGCTGAGATTAACCGTTACGTTGACGTCATGCTCCGGGAAATTTTAGATCGAGGCTGAATGATAGAGTGTACGAAGCGAGGCTGCTGTTGAGCGAGGCCGCATATGTCGGTCAATTTGATTGAAAGTTCGATATATACGGCCTTGATATTATGTTTATTTGTGGTTAAAATGAGAGTTTGGATGTCGGTATTATACGCTCTTTTGTCACTTGCGTTTACAGAAAAATTATGGAAATTGATAAACACCGCAGCTAACATCACCCCAGTTGAATTGCAGCCCATGCAGCCCCATTGGATCAATGTTTTCTATTTCAATTTGTCTGCTTCGGGAGTACACGCAGGCTAACAAGATTGAAGAAGTCGGCTATAATTATGCCTCATTGATTTGGTCCATTCCTTTAAAACTTTCGCTTCTTATCTATATAATAAAAGTCCTATTTTTAATTTGAAGTAAAAATAAATGTGATTCGAATTGAAAACGTTACTTGATAATCGAGATTATGTAGGTGGAGTTAACGCCTGCCAATCAAACGGCCTGCATTCTCGTAGACGGTGAAGAGAGATTTGACTCCTATTTCTAGTCAAAAATTACAATGGTGATAACTTTAGTCAGAATAAAGTAATTTTGACTGAAATTTTCAATATATTCTTCTTTTATCATCTATTTTTGAACTGCTATAGCAAGAATGGCCAACTCTCTATTAAAATCTCCCATAATGTATCTTTAAACGTTTATTAACAAGACAAGCCCATAATCTCCACGGTATATGTTTGACACTGGTTAAGCATTAAGATTATAATTATGATGTTTAAGACCCTGTGATTTTTATGCCATTTGTGAGGGGCACAAAAACTCAAGGGTGGGGGGGGCAAAAACTCAAAACCATGACGAAGGGCTCGTCCTTGCGTCCCTCTCACTTAGCGCCTGTCATAAACTAACAGTTTTTGGTGGCAAGAACATCTGATCCGACTGGGTCAAGGAAAACGGCCAAGAACATCTGAATGCGGGAAACGTGCAGACCCCTTTGCTTCTATATAAGTTTAGAAATAGGTTGATGATGGATGGGGCTAGCTATATATGATTGAATATCCATTTCTATAGGTTTCATTCGACAATCGAACAAAAACTTTGACTGAAGTGTAGAAAAAATGTCCGCCTTGCAAGCAAATTCAAACATTAAAATAACCAAAACACTAGTTTAGATCTTCACTACATCGAATAACTTCACAATATAAGTATTGATACTATACTAAGCAGCAAAAGAAACGCCAGGTTGGTATGTTACTCTGAATAGACGCATTGCATAAAACTTGCCAAATGTTTTTATTGTATATTTGTGACCACATCTCCAATAAGGCTCCTTCCCAAACAAGGAATTGAACCCAGGAAATGTTCTCAAAAAAGCAACCTGACTTCTGAGATGGTAATGTGTTCTCCATGATTTTCATGTAACTCATGCTGCACGAGCTGTGTCTGGCCACACTACCCAAGCCGTTGCCAATCACTTCCAGTTCAATGTTCGGACCATCTACGGGCTTCAGCAACACTTTCGGGCCACCAACATCACGGATGATCGCCCCCGAACTGGTAGACCAAGGGTTACCACAAGGCGACAAGACCGCTATGCTGTGCGACAGCACGTGCAGAACCCCTTCAAACAGGCATCTGAGACAGCACGTCAGACAGTGGGAACACGCGGAAGAACTATCAGTACCGATCCATTGCCGGAGACCTTACCGTGGACCGATTCTCACCCCTCGCCATCGAGGTGAACGTCTACAGTTTGCCGAACAATACCAGAACTGGCGAGACAGGCAATGGCGAATATTTATGTTCACAGGTGAGAGGCGGTATTGCGTATCAACTGCAGATGGCAGGACCACAATATGGCGCCGATGTGATCAGCGTTATTCTGACCAATGTGTCATGGAACGAGACCCCTGGGGGGTCCAAGCATAATGGGTTAAGGCAGAATCGATCCGAACAAGATAGTTGGTCCTGTGGTGTTCCAAAATCTTGGTCCAGGGAGAGGAGGCGGCATCACAGCGGTGTGCTACATCGATCAAGCTCTCAGACCCCACGTCATACCACATTTCGCACGTCATCGAAACAACGTTTTCCAGGATGACAATCCTCGTGCCCACACCGCCAGAGTTACTCGGGACTTTCTAGAGCAGAACGGTGTCAACGTTATGCACTGGCCAGTCCTTAGTCCGGACTTAAACCCGATTGAACATCTTTGGGATGAAATTCAGAGGAGACTTAAAAACGTCGTACCGGGACAAAACACAGTCGATGGATTGCGCTAGGCTTTTCTGAGAGTGTGGTTCCAGGTGCCAATGGCGTTCATCAATCGTCTGGTCCACTCCATGTACAGACGCCGCGCTGCTGTTATTGACACTCGCGGTTGACACACCAGAAACTGATGTATAGACTGTGTACAGACTCTAAACCTTCTCGTAATGTCTTGGAATTGTGACGAATTAATCACTAATGTGTCAACATACTGTTCACAACAAATTGCTTTGATCCATTTAACAAGTCTGATTTTGTACTGAGAATCTTTATTTGGCTGGAATATTGGGGCTTTTAATCTAAAAGGGATTTTGTTCTCTCTTTTAATATATGAAGAATTGGTTTGAAAGTGTAAAATCGTTATATTGTTCTGTGGTCTCTAGAGCGTTACAAATGTTTCCGTTATACAGGAAGTGAATCAGTGACATATCGTTGCATGACTGTGAATTTCAATAGCTTTCTTTCCTAGAATTAGCCAAATGATGCCAACAAGATTGAGAAAAAACCGCGAAAAATGGTTACGCCACTCTGAATTTCGATAGGATTCGGACCACTTATAATTAGTCAAACAATCTTAACAGGTCAGAAAAAATAAAACACAAAAACTCAGATCCGTTGAGTGTTTACAGAGCCTTGGTGATAAGGGCGCGAACTGTCAAATATCATCGTCCCATTCTACATTTCGAACGGGTCATATTTAAAACTAGCAGATCAATCCAAGTAACTTTCAAAAGAAACTTTCAAAAACTCTTGATGTTTACAAAGATTGCAGACGGTCCGATGGGCGGCAATATAATCTCAAATGAAATATGGCCATACTACTTGTCGAAAAAAGTAATCACATCGAATCTCTTTTTGGCCTACCACAAATCATACCCCAGAGCTACTAGATCCAGGCATTTCTTATGAACAAATCTGAATTACTATATATAATGTGGTGGATGTTTATCCGTAATCAAATGTGAATATTGGTTATTTAGAAGAAGAGTTTTTGTAAATTTGGCAATTGTTTACCCTTTCAAGTGACCCTACACTAGCTGCATATCCAGTTTGGTCCAAATGCAATTAGCGGTTCTTAAGAAGAAGTCAAAATATAAATTGTTTGCGCCGACTGGACAGACGGCGGAAAAAAATGACACAAACAGCCCATGCAGATATAATAAGCAAATCTTTCATTTCTGTCTGATTATCAGTTTCATATCTTTGTTATATTTACTTATTTATCTATCTATACACCTGTGTTACTATTTGTTCTGTCTTTGTTGGGCGACTGGGCTACATACACTATTAGGTGGAGATGGGTGTGGAAGATTTCAGTATATAATGTCTGAGAAAGTTTATATTTTGAGATGAAGAGGTCAAATGAATTTGCTTTGCACATTAAGAAAAGTAAATGGTATCGAATTTAAAACGATATTTTGCACCCTTTCCAAATAACAAACAAACAAGGCCTCCACCCTTTAACACGGATATTTATCGGAAGTATCATGGTTGCCAAGACAACCCATTCATCATTTCTTAGCGAAACTCGATCTAGCCTTAACGAAGTATACACCAGGAAGCAAGAACTTTTCTTCTGAATACTCTGATTTCTGTAACGAAGGACGTCTATGCAAACATTAAACATATTATCAGATAGGTAGACCTGTAACGTTGACCGTCGGCACTGTGTACACTTTTCTGTCAACGATTTAAAGGATTAATTTGTTAACGTTTAGCTGTGCGAAATCCGCCAGTGCGAAGTGAACTAAACGAAATATTCTCCAACGAAACACATCTAACAGCGTCAAAAGTGATAAAATTGATTTAGACATCATATTATTATGTGTCCAAATCTGGCATATTCATCCTCGGATTCAAGGATATCGCAAAGTCTAACTCGCATTGTACAAGGGTACACGTATTTTGGATTGCAAAAGCTTGTACAATGGCAATATAGGTATCCATTTTGTGGCGTGACAAAATTTTCATTCATTGCAGGTCACATAAAGGTTCAATTATACAACTTCCCAAAACGAAAGTATTGCAAATTAGCTCGGGCAGATCCCTGAATAAAAACAAACAGAGACTCAATGAACTTGTTAATACATTTATACTTTAATCTGTAATGTAATATTTTTAAATAGAAAACTATATTTGACACTAACATGTTCTAGTTTAAATCATCAAAATAGCATGAAGCCTTATATGGCCAGGTAGATATATGGGGCTGCCATTCAAAATAAGCTGAAATTGTTTTAAAGAGATATTTCATACATTTAAGCCTATTTGCTTTATATTTATACATTTGAAGACAAAATAATTGTCAGTGTAACATTAACAGTTTATAACAAAGTAACATTAATAATTTCTGTCATAAAGTCTGATATGAAAAACAACATATTTTGGCATGGCCTTACAGTTATCACAAGAAAGAAGGGAATGGTGACGTCAGCAGTGTTTGGCGGGGAGAAGTGGGGGTACATTCAATAACATAATGATATTACATGAATTTAACAACAAACGAGATTTCGTAGCCTCATGAATATAATAATTTTGGTGATGATGGTTACAGAAACTTTTTTCCTTAAAATATGAGTACGAAACTATTCATACATTTACGCATGCGCAATTATTTAATAATTGTTATAATACAGGCAACAAATGTCCCGTTTCTTGTCAAATAAAGTAATTCAACTCAACGTAATCCATGCATGTAACTCAACATATTTACTGTATGGGATGGCGGGATTTTAGCTAAGATTTGAGACTAAGTCCTTTAATACTGCCCTGTGGCCTAGGTTATGACAGTGAACTAAACGTGATCAAAGGGGGCTTTTCTATGACAATTTCAGTCTGAGAAATCAGAAAAATCGAACAATACACTATTAATTAATATAAAGTTGTTCAGGGAGCTAACAAAGCTATTTAATGAAAAGAAATATTAGTAAGCCTGTTACAAAGGCAGTCATGTTTAAGTTTAGAGGAAGGTAATTAGCCAGGAGCAATAATCTGTTATTTATATAATCATTACATATCATGTTAATTAATAATGAGCACCGAGCAGTGAATGTGTAAATGATGTATAACATTAATTTGAACATTATGCGAAATGATTATTAATTATTATCATCATCAAAATGAATAGAGACTAAAAAATACAATGGGTATTTCTAAATTTCTCTACTAAAGAGAAAACTGATAATAGATTTGTCAACTAAATAAACTCTATAATATATTGAACAAAAAAACTCGATACAATGAAAAGGCTTGAAGTTAACATTAGAGATTTGAATTATTCTGTTCCATTTATCTCATGTCAGTTCTTGGAATTTCAAGAGAACATAAATCGTCTATTTTGTCACTCAGCACATTTACAACATACATTTATTCATTACGAAAAAAAAACATAATTACATCTACAGTCTAAAACGGCGACATATACATTCAAAATATATCTTTATGTCGAAATTTTATTAGATTTACCCAGTGCGACAAAATATCTGTATATCTCTTTGTGTTCCAATAATTGATAAATAACCTTCTCCAAAATAACACAGCCCCTGGGACAAAAACGTCCCAAGCAAGGCTACCTACGTATACACGATAAATCACACATCCTCATATATCAGACAATGGCCAATCTATATACAGTTTAAATGAACTCGAATCTCCCCGTAGTTTTCAACTACAGATTTGTTTTTTGTGTATGTAACCTTTTCATTGTACCGTCAGTGAAACAGAATATATTGCTAATTACTATTTACATGTATCATATGATGCCATTTTTCCATTACCAAAAATGAGATAGTATTGAACCCATCCACGTCATGCAAGAAAAAAAACATATAGATATATGAATATAATATTATATATATATATATATATATAGTAATACGGAGCAATTGTCCAACAATGAATAATAATGATTCTCTCTAAATAAATAATATATGTGATTTGAAAATACAATAGAATTTTCCGTCCATAGATTTGTTTTATGCAAATATTCTCGGCAAAAAAAATAATTGGTTGAAGTGCATGGCAGTTCGACATAAATATATCTCTTTTACAAAAATAATTTGAATGATGTTGCCATGTTCCAATGGATGAATCATATAGTCAAAATGAAATAGGGGACAAAGTAACAGATGATATACGATGATAACCGATTTCCCACTCAAAGCACTTATATTCAATATACATAGTTACACAACAATTATTCTATTTGTTTAAAATCACTTCATATTGGAAGATAACATTATGTTTCGCAGTGCTGTCCATGTCTTCAGTTCAACCAGGGGCGGATAACTCACAGCGCTTCCGATGTCACAACTAAGCGTCCGTTTTTTGTTTATATAGCAACACAATATGGGTTTAATTAATCTTTATGAAGGTGTATTCAATTTTTCTATGCGTCGTTATCATCATAAGGTGAATTAAACGCGCACTTTCATTCTAGAAGTTTTCGAGCTTCTTGGCATTCACACACAGTCAATGTTGGAAGTAAAACTATTTTGATGAATCTTTGAGACAACACAATCCAATGAACTCTTTGTCAATTTGTTTTCCCTTGGGTCCCAAAAACCGGAATGATTATAGACATAATTGGGAAGTTTGGTTCAGATAGTTTGCGGTATTCATTGTTTGAATCTTGTATAGATTCTAGAAATGTATTTTTTATGTGTCAACATTTTTCACGAAGAAAAAAAAAATAGGGACCATCTGCATGTAATCGGTTGTTACAACTCATCGTTTTTTATGTTTCGGATCCAATTTAATACAGACTTGTGTCATCTAAAAATTGAGATGCTTGCATGGGTTCTATTTGGTCGATTGATAATTCGTCGTCCCCGGCTAGTTCATTAAAATCGTGGGGAAGGTTACCTATATGAGAGTCAATATTTGAGGCGTTTTTATTTCCATTGATATCCTTGTCTTCCTCCTCTTCCTCTTCATCCTTGCAGGGAGAGTCGGGCGTCTCAAATTTATACGGACAAAATTCACCGCGCATTTCACACACCACATTTGTCAAAGCTTTGATGTAGTTCTTGGCAAGAGCCAAGGTTTCTATTTTTGAAAGTTTTCTATCCAGGTTCACGTGTGGTATAACCTCACGAAGGCCCTGGAAAGCGTCATTTAACGAATGCATTCTCATCCTTTCTCGCTCGTTACTCTCAAGACGCCGCATGTTACGTTCCCGAGCACTGCACTTTCTCCGTCTAACGGACTTTTTACTGTTTCTGGGCTTCTTTTCGCTGGGATCTTCAACTGTTTCGTTTGTCGAGCTGCCCGAATCGGAGGGTGAGCTGGGATTGTCTCGCTTAATGCCTCGCTTTCTGGCATTAAAATCTGGTGTCTCGAGGCCTGCTAAATTCCACATGGTAAGTTCTCCGTTTTCGCCACTGTTAAATCCTATACCTAAACCGCTTGTCATATTGTTAGATTCTGAACGCATCACCTGAAATAATAAAATTAAATATTCAATTTTAAAAGGTGATTAAATTTTTAATGCGAAAGCAGGTTGGCTGCATACGAAGGTACGAGAAATGGAGCACCAACACAGTTTAGGGCAAGATTATGTCTGTAAATAAATTCAGTATCTAACATGTCCCTTTAACCTACCATTGTAATTCGTATTTTACGCAACAAAACTCATAAGAAAATATATCAGTTGCAAAGGATGTATTAATCCTATTGTGTGAACTTTGTTACATAAGATGTTATTTGTGATTTGATGGAGGAGTATAACTCCTTTTATTATACCAGACGTCTCTCACTTGATTAGACAATGTTACATCTAATAAACGACATAAAATGGAGTAATATCGAGCAATAAACAAACTTATTGTATGATCTTGTCCCTTTGACCCCGCATCTCTTTGATTTATTACCACCCCTTTATATTGGTATTTCATGATAAAAACTTTTCCTGTATTTCATGATCAAATCTTAAAACACGCACTCTCTCTCTCCCTCTCTAAATATATATAGGCGACAGAGCAGACACAAAAGAAATCAATCAAAGATATTTAAGTGGGTTATCTTAAAACTGGTAATGAATATAAATCTGTTCAAAAATTGGCTAGACGTATAAATGATTAATACAATAATTGAGTTATACGACAAAGGCACATAATGGACTCCGAAATCACAGCATAAAACACTAAAAGAAGCTACAGTTGGCATTTCTTCCGATGAACATAAAAAATTGAAATTGTTATCAGTTAATAACCCCTCCGTTGGTATATAAAATCCCTATATTAATATCACTGTGGAATCAGTGCTCAAAATACTAAGCAATTGCTAGCTCCACGGGTATAGAACACGTTCGACTTTCTTGACAGTGATGTCAGAGCATGAGATAAACAGAAGACGTTCCTTTTCTCGATTCATTTCCGCTGTAGGTCAAAGATCAGCTTCGCTTACAGAACAGCAGAAGATTCTGAAATTTGACAGTATAATCATTCCTAGTGCGTGTATTACGTAATGTTGTGATGAATCAACTTGACATTCCTGACATTAAATGAACTATTATCAGATTACTAAAATAGTGGCACTGACTTCTATATCCAGATATTCAACTCAAATCAAGGATGATGCCAAATTTAGTGGCGAGAGAGAGAGAGAGAGAGAGAGAGAGGGATAGGGCCATTTCGGGACTAACACGATTTATTTTTATTATTTCCCTCTATAGAACTCAGGAATACCAGCGTACAATGTCCGAATAGAACGAATGATATGTTAAAATAATTGCCTACGTGGTAGTCGGAGTTGTTAAGTAGACGCATAACATGTGCCGATATCTATTTCCAACAAGTAAAATACTGTTATATAGATTAAATTGTAAAGGGAAAATATACTGATTGGAAAATCAATTCGGTGACAAGGTGTTCAAAACATTGCTTTAAAACATATATTATATTTCATGTGGTTGTTGTAAGCAAGTAAAAAGATATCAATGAAAGGTGTTGTTCATACGTGCGTCAATGAGGTTCGAAAAGCGATTACATGTAACTAGTCAGATTCAGATATGATATAAGCCAATTATCTATCCTCTTATGTAGACTTCACGGTCAAGCTGCAGTATGCCGGCGTATTTGCAGTGAACCACTTTTATTATAGAACAAAAATGTGTCCCCCCAATTTCTCTCATAGTTATGTCGGTGCTTCGTGGGTGACCACTGTAGGCCTACTTCGTTTAACTGGGTTTTTTTTTATCATCATTATGTCTGAACTATCTTTTCACTAGGAAGAATATACAATTATCTATTTGGTCCTATAATTAAGTACCTAACGGTATTATTATATACAGCATATAAAGGTTATATATCTTTTCTTTGTCGAGAGTATATCATTTTAAATCATAGATATATGAACTTGGTAGACTAGAAATTATAGACAAACTATATATAGAAACGTGTTGATCATCCTTAATACTCTCTTGGTCATCATGAACTCTATAATGCCATGACACAATGCTGCTCGGCAAACGCACATTATTATTCAGATAATATCAATGCACGTGAGAAATAAATACCTTATAGCAAATACAACTGATTTTATCACTGGGTATTTGTATCTGCATTTACAGGATCAAAAAAAAAGGGAATTGTGCGGAGATTTTGAGTAAATGACCGCCAATTATAAGGGTTTATGCATTCCATACTTTCTAGATTTTCTTTACCTATACACATTTTAAAACGATGTATTTTTTGCCAAAAAACATTCACCTGCTTTAACTTGATTTTAATTTTTTGGCTATGATACCACCCATATTTTGTTAATACCCCTAGTTTAAACTTAATCTAATGTTAAACAACTGCGTCATGTTGTACATCTTGTAAACAAAGAAAATATCGTTCATAGACGTTTATAAAAATAACTACAAAAGTCATTTATACACGAGTAAAAAAAAAATAAACTGGTTTCCTGTTTCGTCTGGTGGCTTTAATTTGATTGTTTGATCAAAAGTAAAGACAGACGAATAGTGGGATATATACCAGATGTGTGTTGAAATCGACGGCTAAATGTACACAAAAAATGTCTATATTCAACTGATGAAGATCTGAAAAACAGCCAATGACGAAGTCCCTTGCGGAGATTCGCGTGGTATTCATCACAAATTAACTCTTTTGGAGTATCTGAATATCGAAAATCAAGTAAGACCAGATTGAAAGATTTGTATTCCGGCAAGGTAACTTCATTAACAAGAGAATATTGCTAAAATCGTTTCTAACCCAGTTATACCGACTGCCAACACCGCTTTTGCAGATCATAAGAATGGAAAAGTATGCTGAAAATGATCAAATTAGTAGTGTGTATGGCCCAATTATCTACTTGTTGTAGAAAAGCATTTAAATTATTTTTTACCAGTTGGTTAAATAGGTGTAGTAATGAGCATGCGCACACCATTGTAGTTCTTACCAATCAGGTTACATAGTAAATAACACAATTAGCAGCATAATGAGGCAAAGTAGCACGTTGCAAATAGCACTGGCTTAGGAATAATTTGTTACGCAATTCGATTAAGTGTTTCCTCTTCAGCCGTGTTGGCCACCCACTTGGTAATTAAGCACGTGAGAAACCCATCTATGTGGCTATTAATTCAATACAACTAGTATGTACTCATCACGTTAGGGAATTCAACTGATAGAGGGCGTTGTTTAAATATTCTGATGTAAAAGACATTAACACAAGCAGATAACTAACAAAACATATTATGTATTTTTATTACTATGTAATAAGACGATGAATATATACTAAACATCGCATTAACTAAATTTAATTTATGCGTTATCCTTCAGGGTTAAAAGTGCCACAATGGATGAAAAGTGCCAAATACATCGATGTGTTTTAAAACACGACACAGAGTACAGTTCCATCGATTATTATCCACCGCGTTTCAAATGTAATATTAGGCATTTATGTTCAGCTATAACCAAAAGAGCGTAAAATCAATTTGTAACGGATATATAGTATCATAGAGTTTATAGAATTCAGTATGTTTCACCGTTGGCGTATATCAATGTATAGCAAAATCCTGACACAATTGTCTACAATAACAATACTCGCCCACATCGTCAATTGATTATAGTATGGTACCAGTCAGATGGCAATTTATTGAGCACTAAGCTAATGTTATAGATCCCCGGTATTAAGCTGACTACAACCTGTCTCCGACCCATTAAACTATCTGGTTCCAGCGTTACTGATACCCCAAACAATATTATAGACATCGTAATAGTCAGAACGATAGGTCCCATTTTGTTCTATTCAGCTGCACGATATCTCTACAATGACATATTTACCGTAGATCTCTCAATGTCAGCCAATATTGAACTAAACTTAATGGCTATCCAATTTGATTCTCTTTAAGATCCGCCAAAATAACTGAAAAGCCACTTGGGCGGTTGAGTAGAAAATGACAAAATAACGTTTGAGATCATTAGCGCCGTTACGTTAGTCTGTCAGATCACCTAGACAATGACAGGTTGTTGACTAAATTGAAGAGCAAAGCGTTAATCCTTCTTTAGACCAATATATGATTCCTGGAACACATCAGAGAAAAATACGGTAATTATGCATAGAAATTGGCCCTGTCTTGTCAGTTCGTCATTGAGTATACATTATTAGAAGTTAATAGCCGGGGAAAAATGGTTGTGTTATTAGCTGTAATGTACAGCGGAACTACTTCAGGAATTTGTCCAAATTATACTTATGCCAAAACCATTAACAGGCAGCGTGTATTCCATTATATTCTATTATGCAAATGTAAAAATGGCTATAATTATTTACGTAGTAATAGCGTGGCCATTGTAAGTTCCCCATAATACGGTTCATTTCATTCCGCGTCAGTATATAAATGCACACAATTTGAAAAAAAATAAAGTGCGAACAGAACAAAATGGGGATCGCCTGACATGAATAACCGACTAAGAACATAAAGACAAAGGGCGTACAAAAATGGTTAAAACAAGCCGACAAAGATAAATATATAAATCAAAGAATTAAAGTCTTATGTGTGAAGGAACAAAAGTTTGGAGAGCGCCTGATTATACGGCATCCGTGACATACGTTTTCTATCACGGCTATAATATAAATGTTCTAACAATATTCATTATGTCTTAAAGGTACCCGGTTCCGCTCTTTTCAAAATTTAGCCATAGAACATGTAGAAATGAAATCAAATAAAATGGGGTTTAACGTCTTACTTTTCTGCACCGACTGGTGTGCTATTAGTGCAATTTTGGCCGGACAGTGGTCTACTTTTATTTTGAATTCAAACTGTCAAGGATTCTTTAACGGCACGTAAATGTGTACAAAGGACTTCGGTTTTTCGTACCATCAGAACTACTAGACACTGCCCTTGCCATGCCCTCCGTTTTTTTCAAAATTTAGCCACAGTGTATATAGGATAACATACATGTATCACTTGTAACAGCTGATATAAAACCAATT